TAGACAATCCTCCATTGAGATTCGAGGTCTTAACTTCAATTGAATCTTTATTGTTGAAATTCACACTTTCTTCCAAAGTACATTGAGAACCCAAATTCACATTTTCATTACTGAAATTCACATTAACTTTAGCGTTCTCATTGTTTCCTTCATTCTCGATTACATTTTGTTTCACTTTGACATCCATTTCCATGACAACACTAACTATAGTATACACCTCTTCAAAATCCTCCTCAAAACTCTCAATCTGCAAATCGCTCATTTCCTCCATGTTTGTCCCAGAAACTTCAACCAAATTACTAGATTCCTGATCCTTATAGTTCTCCACGAGACTGGGCACTACAACAACTTCCTCGATGACCACCTTGTCTTCCTCCTCGTCATTGTCGCTCTTAATAATGACACGTTGTTTAGCCCTCGTCTTCTTTCGACCCATGATGACGATCAATCAAATCCTGAAACTCATTTTCATTCTCCTTTTTGAAATGAAGAAGTTGCCAATGACAAACCGATGAATACGACGACGAAGAAGTGGTGATGGGTGTGGATGATGAAGGAGATAATTTTAGATTTCCAAGAGGCTTAATCTATATATAACGAAAGCATATCTGTTACGATGTTCATCCCTACTATTAATTAATTATATATATAAAAAATGCATCCATTATGTACATAACAAAGTGTATCCGTTATGAAGAGGAGAGGGGAGACCGTATAAATAGGGAAATGCCACGAAATGCGAAAAGACACAATTGGGGCTAGATTCATGATGTGAGGCAGTGAGATCTGGATTGGATGGTTGATGTTGGCGGGCGGGAGGTAGGCGAGCATCTAGCAGGATGGCTTTTGGAGGAAAGTAATAGTTAGTGGTGGGTGAGATTGCAATTCCTGTATAAAATGCTTACCCTATTTAATGCATAGGGTAGCATTATATATATATAGATTAATTAAAATAAATTGTTGATTAAAATAGAAAACCTGTCTTTTTTTTTTTTTTTTAGAAAAAATGCCACCTTAAGTAACTTTTGATGGAAAGTTAATGGATTGATTGCGTAACCCGTTATAAAGGGGCTTCTTTTGCCACTAAGGATGAGTTTGTAGGTTAATTTATTGGGTTAAAGCCAACCATCGTCCCTCTACTTTTAATTTTTATTCATGTCCGTCCCTCTACTAAGGATTTGTTTCTTGTCATCCTTATACTTTACCAAAAACACTAAATGTCGTCCCTGTACTCCAATTATTTTGTTCGTTGTCATCCTTTTGCTGACGGAGTTGCCTTTAGCCGTCTATTTGGACCGTTTAATCCACAAACGGTCAATTGTTGAAGCATTTTTTGGATTTTTTTTTCATATGTTTTGTCAACTAGGAGGGGGAGAAGCACCCTTTCGTCAATGTCCTGCTCCACTTTTTTTTTTTCAAATTCAATCATTTATGTTGTTAATTTATAATCTTACCTCTTATATTTATTTGTTTTTATAGTATTTCAGATTTAGTTTAACTATTATGAACTAACAATTTGTAGTTAGAGAGGTGAACTATATTTAATACTACTATATAATGTGTGTGTTAGTGTACATATTGAGTTGATAAATTGTGATGTTTTAAATTTTATATTGAGTGAAAATGTAAATGTAAAAATTCATTATTTGATAACCTAATGTTAAATTTTAGGCGTTCAGAAACTTAGTTTAGAAAGTTATTAAAATTATTTTAATAAGTTTTTTTTAAGAGGGTTTTAAATTATATGTTAAGGCCTTAAGGGTACATTTATTGTATCATTTCACAATTTATATAAACAAAATTATGAAAGTAAAATTTATTTTTAACATCAATCCCACACGAAATATTTAATTATATAGTTAATAAAACTATAATCAATTTTTATTTTTTATCCAAATTAATGATAAAAAGATGCATATATTTAAAAAATTCTTTTTTAATAGTTTTTTAATAGAAGGTCTTTCTAATATGAACTGTTAAATATACTTTTTCATTATGAATTTGTATTGAAAAAACAAAAATTGATTTCTAATTTATCAATTATCCAATTAAAATTATCTACTTGATATTAATATTAAAATTAATTTTAATTTTTAGATTTTTTTTCTATATGTATTTATCACAAAAAGGTTAGTTAAGAAAACCTTTTAATATTTGCTTTAAGAAAACAATTAAAAGTGTAATTAATGCACTTTTAATTATTAAGTTACATAAAAAATTAAATACTATTAATTTTAATTTTAACAAATAATCAATTAAATTAATACATATAACATTAGTGTTAAAATTAATATTAGCCTTTTTATTCTTCATATTAAGTGACTGAAAAGTGTATTAATTATACTTTAAGGCAAAGTTTAGAAAAAAAAAATATTACAGTAACCACCTAACATCACATATTTAATATAAAAATATTTACTTGTGTCTTAAGAGTGTTTATTACACATTTTCTCCATTTATTTGCATGAAAAATTATGAAAGTAAACATTATTCTTAATATTAATGTCATGTTAAACAATTTAACTGCATAATTAATATAATTAAAATTAATTTTTATTTTTTTTATAAATTAATAATAAAAATATATAATAAAAAAACTTTTAACATGCAAAAATTAAAAAATTCTAAAATATTTTTATATCTATGACTTATTTATTACAATTCAAACAGAAGACACAACACTTAGAACATCATTTGTCTTAAATTAAGCAAAATCTCATTTGAAATTTGAAAATAGCAACATGCATGTTTACTCCCTAGTACCCAACCCCCTTGCTTCTCTCCTCCTAGCTGGCAGCACATTTGGAATAATAAAATTCCAAGAAATGCTTCCACGGTTGATCGTTTGTGGATTAAATGGTACAAATAGACGGCTAAAGCAACACCGTCAATAGAAGGATGACAATAAACAAAATAAGGGGAGTACAGGGATGACATTTAGCACTTTTGGGAAAGTAGAGGGATGACAATGAACAAATCCTTAGTAGAGGGATGGACATGAATAAAAATTAAGAGTAGAGGGACTATAGTTGGCTTTAACCCTTAATTTATTTGTGAAATCAGTTGAGAGACTAATTTGTCATTGCACAAAGAGTTAAGAGGGCACCTTCATGTTTTGCCCTTGCATAATACTATTCTTGAAATTGGGTAAATATATTGTTTTCGCCTTTGAAAATATTTTTTCAAAAATTGAGTCAAATATGCATTAATAAGGCCATTCGAATCTTGAAACCGATTCCTTTATTGTATTACTTTTTATTTTTCTTTCACTTTATTTATTTATTTATTTGTTATTTGGTCTCTGGATGCTTGAATAAAAGTTAATATATCTAAGTTTGAGATATCACATTAAATTTAAAAAATTAATCTATTAAATTTATGAATATATATATTTTATATTTATTCTTATCACCTTTTTCCGCAATTTTTTCAATGAAAAATTTGATCGCAACTCTATTTTCACCATTTTCAACAATCTCTTCGTAAGAGTAACACCGTGCAGATTATATGGACCGTACACCCAGGGCTAGAGGAAGTATCTCCGTGCACCTATAGGCCTACAGAGAAACCAGCATGCTCCATTATAAAGGCTTTGCGCTTGGACTAGCACAGCTACACAAAGAGAGTTGATTATCTCACAATATTAGGCCCAAGATCAATTCCAAGATCAATTCACCATGGGCTCTAATGCCACTTTTGAGAGACTAAGCTTGTGGAACCAAAAAAAAAAAGTTTAGGACATGAGTTTGAGCCACTATTTTGAATTAAAAAAATTAATTTATTAGATTTATAAATCTTTATATACTTATGTTTCACTTATTTTTAATACATCTTTTCGATAGGAGATTTCATCATAACTTCCAATTGAATCACTTTTCTCATCATCTTGATTTAATGGATATATATATGTAAAAAATAATGTAAAATAAGTCATTCTCTTTAAATTTTTTAGAGAGCTTGTTTAAAAACTTACATTATAATTAATCCTTTCAAAAATCGA